AAAGCATTTTCCCATCTTATAGATAGAAAAAGCAGTCAGATAGTTTGCCTTTATGCGGGCAACTCACATATTCGACTTTTTTCTCTCTACAGTTCAAGGCTTTTCTTCAGAAAGAGATTTTGAAGAGTATGTTAAGCAAGAGAGTAACTCTAAAAACGTGTTGGTTGCTATTATTTTTGACCATGAGTTCCAAAATAGCAATGATCCCCTGCCATTTAAGGTAAGAGATTTTTAATGTAGAAACCTCATAAGTATACTTCCAGTTTCTGAGGCTTAATGAAGTAGAGGCATAATTATTTCATTTATTAAGTGGGGAGACTGCAACTTACCCCAAATCATACTGCTTGTACATAGTAGAGCAAAGATTTAAATCCAAATCTAATTTCTGTGTCTGTGCCTTTATTTAGCCAGAGCTTTATGTTGATGGGGGAAGAATCGAATTTACCACATACTAGGTTTTCTCCTTATAAATCAGAATCATAGGAGACGTCGACCTTGACCACTGTATCAGATTATGGCAGCTGCCTCCAGTTCTGTGCATGATGGTGAAGTAAATGCACGTTTCCCAGGTCAAGACCTGAGATGTTAAAGCATGTTAAAATACAACATGAAAATGTTCCTCTTTCTTTTGACTGAATCTCATCATTTTTCTCCAAAATCTAAATCTGGAAAACAGTGTTAAGCCTTAGCCAAGCAGAAACAGAATTAGGACATAGGTAGACTCTGAGAAAAATTCTGATAACAACTTTCAAGAAGGAGAGACGAGGACTGTGCTTTGAACTTGGTGTCCCTGGTGTTGAGGGAAATAACCAAAGTATGGTACAGATGTATGCATGGAGCTATAATTCTACATTTAAGATACAGATGGCTGTCAATGGAATGAAAAAGTAAGGAAAACCACTGGGTTGTAAGTAGAGTTGTAGGTATCTTCCGTTCTGTCCATCGTTCCCTCATTCCTTTCATGTGTATAAAATTCCCTCAAGTTACTGATTCAGTGTACGTGATGCTGATGTAGACTCATCAGCGGAAACATAGAGTGCGGTCAGAATGTTTTTGGTACAGTTTCAAACTTCACCTTGTATGGTCTCCCGACTGCCCAGGCCACTTGGCTCACTCTTACCCTTAGTTAGCATTGCTACTGTGACTCACAGTACAGTGACTCTCCTAACCACACCCAGCCCTTTCCTCCTTCATTCTCCCATAAATGCCCTGTACATATTACTATCACTGAATTTCCTATAATGTAAATATATATGTTGTCTCAACTAGAATTTGAGCTCCTTGAGGAACAGGTGCTATGTCTTAATCCTTGAACACGCAATAAGTGTCTAAAGCTTTTGTCTTGATAACTGAGTATATTAATATTTACCTAGGTTTATGATATGTGTCTGCCCCATCTGGTGTTACTGATTTCTCGGGTCTGACCCCTGACTTGAGGCAACTGCTGGACCATTTGCTGTCTTGTAAAGCTACTTAGACCCAGCATGAGCTACCTTGAAATTTTTACTTAGTTCTTTAGAATTAGTATTATCTTTTGATTTAATAAGGAAATTATGCAGTATTCCACATTTATACCTTCACATTTCTCCTCTGTCTTCATGTGGGATTCTTAGGTTATAATCACTTTTAGAGGAGGAAGAGATTTTCCTCTTGGAACACTTGGCTGACATAATGGGAAGAGAAATTAGCAACACCTTTTGGTATGTTTCATTTCAGTATGCATGCCAGCTGTCTATTTTGGGAAAGAGACATTGGCAATTGTGTGCAAGTTGCTACTGTTTGCTTACCACAAACCCACGGTAGCCACACCACACAAGTCCGCTCCATTGGCTGATGTTCAGAATCTACTTAGTGCTTGACACTCTGCCTCAGAATCACACGTGTGCAGTTTTTCTTTAACTTCCTTTTGTTTCTCATTCTTAATTATCTTTTTCATTTACTGATATTGTTTCTTTTTGCTCCTGATAGGTAAAATATTTTCTGTGTTTCAGTAGTTTTCAGAGGAACAAGTATGTGGGTTTTCTCCGAACTGAAGGCTGGGAAACAGGTGTTCTCTTTCTACCTTTTCCTTCTTTGGGACCCAGAAGTGAACGTAACTCAAATGGGGGGCCTCCTGGTGAGCAGATCTTTAGTCATACTTATTTTAATATCAACTCATATAGTAAGAGCTATCATATGTTTATACCTACATTTCTTCAATCTTATGATAGAAATTGTTAATTTTTAACTTGTTGTACTGCTGGTGATTTCTTTAAAATTTTCAGTGTCCAAAAACTTGTGTAAAATTTCTGTACGTTGGAACGATGTATTTTTATCCAGGTTCAGCTCAACTCAACTAAACTCTTGGAATTTAAATGGTCAGCTCCTCACTTTAGCTGTATGACAAAGGAAGGAGCTAGCGTCTTTAAGAAAACAGAACAAACAATTATATACTTTAGTGTCCACTGTTCCTTTCACCACAATTTCTGGCATAAGATCCAAAATTATAGGATATGCAAACAAGCAGGAAAATGTTACCTAAAATTAAAAAAACCAGTCAATATAAGTGGACAGATAAGCTATATACTGGAATTGGCAGACAAGGTATTTAAAATAATTTTGAATATTTTGATGTCATGTTGATAGCAAATATTCTCTGATATATAATGTGATGAAGAGGGCATTTTACCTCTGTAAAACTTGTAACTCTATTAGTGAAAAAACATCATGCAAATCCAAACTACAGAACCATGTATTCCAAAATACATGCCCAGTATTCTCGAAAACTCTCAAGGTCGTGAAAAACAAGAAAGGATAATAAAGTTTCATAGATCAGAGGAGACTATGGAGACATGACAACTAAATGCAATGTAGTATCCTAGGTGGGAACAGAAAAAAAAAATGACACTGGGGAAAAACTGGTGAAATCCAAACAAGTTTGTATAAATTAGAAATTGTTTTGTGCCAATATTAATTTCTTAGTTTTGGCAAATGTACCATGGTAATGTAAGATGTCATATTCGGGAAGCTGGGTGCAGGGTAGAAGTAATATTTCTCAATTTTTTTTTCATTATTGCCCTTCTAGGGAATCCTTTTGGACATATTTTCCCTAAGTGTGTTCCCCTTGTGAAATTTTAATACCACAGATATACTACAGATCTGTTTTATGTGCTATGGCTTGAAGCTCTATAACTCTGTTGAGAATGCATGGTATTTAGGAATGCATGGTATGTAGTCTTTCTGTAAGACTATATTTTTTTCCAAAATAAAAAAGTATATTTTAAAAAACTCTCCAAGCCAAAGTAGAAACAAAAGTGAAAAAAATGAAATTTCTGAATCTGATAAAGTACATGTGTAAGAAATTTGTATCATCCTAGTGAAATATTGAACATTTCTCCTCTAATAATCAGGAACAAAGTAAAGATGTTTGCTCTCATCAGTTCTTTTCAGCAGTTTACTGGAAGCCCTAGCTTGTATCAGAAAAAGGAAATGAAATAAAAGGTATAGATTTTGGAAAGGAAGGAGTAAAATTATCTTTATGTGAAGTTGACAGAATCGTGTTATGTAGGTGATTGTGAAGAGATCCACAAGAAAGTACTACATATAATGTATGAATTGAGCAAATACCCCAGATAGACAGTATATGATAATAAATTATAAATCTACACCAAAGACAATAAAACATTCCTGAGAGAAAACCTTAAACAAATGATGAGACATCTAAATTTCATTGCTTGGGTGACTCAAAATTGTTAGGATGTAGCTTCTCCCTAAGTTGATCTATAATAGCAATAGAGTGACAGTCAGAATCCTAGCAGTCTTTTTGGAAAAAAAATACCAAGCTTATTCTAAAAAATATATGGAAATACAGGATCACGTGATCAGTTGCTTACGTGAGCAGAAGTAGTTCTGGTCGTCGTCTACCGTCTCGCTATAGCCGTTTGAGGGAAGAAGGAGGAAAATTATCCAGTATCGTTAGAGCTACACCGAGATTGCATCGAGCCAAGCTTGCCACCAAGAGCCCAACAGTCACCATGATGCTGAGCACAGAAGGCAGGGAGGGGTTCGTGGTGAAGGTCAGGGGCCTACCCTGGTCCTGCTCAGCTGATGAAGTGATGCGCTTCTTTTCCGATTGTAAAATCCAAACTGGCACATCAGGTATCCGTTTCATCTACACCAGAGAAGGCAGACCAAGTGGTGAAGCATTTGTCGAACTTGAATCCGAAGATGAAGTGAAATTGGCTTTGAAGAAGGACAGAGAAACCATGGGACACAGATACGCTGAAGTTTTCGAGGCCAACAGTGTTGAAATGGACTGGGTGTTGAAGCATACAGGTCCGAATAGTCCTGACACCGCCAATGATGGCTTCGTCCAGCTTCGAGGACTCCCGTTTGGCTGTAGCAAGGAAGAGATTTGTTCAGTTCTTTTCTGGGTTGGAAATTGTGCCAAATGGGATGACACTGCCGGTGGACTTTCAGGGGCGGAGCACAGGGGAGGCGTTTGTGCAGTTTGCTTCCCAGGAGATAGCTGAGAAGGCCTTAAAGAAACACAAGGAAAGAATAGGGCATAGGTACACTGAAATCTTCAAGAGTAGCAGAGCTGAAGTCCGAACCCACTACGACCCCCCTCGAAAGCTCATGGCCATGCAGCGGCCAGGTCCCCATGATAGGCCGGGGGCTGGCAGAGGGTATAATAGCATTGGCAGAGGGGCAAGGTTTGAAAGGATGAGGCGTGGTGCCTACGGTGGAGGGTACGGAGGCTATGGCGACTATGCTGGCTATAATGATGGGTATGGCTTTCGGTCGGATAGATTCGGAAGAGACCTCAATTACTGTTTTTCAGGAATGTCTGTCTGATCATAGATATGGAGATGGTGGGTCCAGTTTCCAGAGCACCACAGGGCACTGTGTACACGTGAGGGGATTACCTTACAGAGCCACTGAGAATGATATTTACAATTTTTTCTCACCTCTTAACCCCATGAGAGTGCACATTGAAATCGGACCTGATGGCCGAGTTACTGGTGAGGCAGATGTTGAATTTGCTACCCGTGCACATGCCGTGGCAGCAATGGCAAAAGACAAAGCTAATATGCAACACAGATATGTGGAGCTCTTCTTGAATTCTACTGCAGGAACAAGTGGGGGCGCATATGATCACAGCTATGTAGAACTCTTTTTGAATTCTACAGCAGGGGCAAGTGGCGGTGCTTATGGTAGTCAAATGATGGGAGGGATGGGCTTGTCCAACCAGTCTAGTTATGGGGGTCCTGCTAGTCAGCAGCTGAGTGGTGGCTACAGAGGTGGTTATGGTGGTCAGAGCAGTATGAGTGGATACGACCAAGTTCTGCAGGAAAACTCCAGTGACTATCAGTCAAACCTCGCTTAGGTGAAGGAACACTAAACACCTATTACAGAAATAAAAGCCCTGCATTTATGGGAGTTGTAGAATGAGAGTGATGTTTAGTATATCCAGTATGATTGGTAAATGGGAAATATCATTGATTCTGATCACTCTTGGTCAGCTTTCTCTTTTCTTTCTTTCTTTCTTTCTTTTTTTTTAAGAAAACAAAAATTAAGTTCAACAGTTTTGCATTACAGGCTTGTGATTCATGCTTACTGTAAAGTGGAAGTCAAGGTTTTACAACTTCAAGCTCAGTAATTTTGAACACTGAAACATTCATCTAGGGTATAATAACAACAACGGTCAGTATTGACCATAACTGTTAAAACAATTTTAAGCTTTCTTCAAGTTAGTTACATTGTAGGAGTGTACCTAAGCAGTAAGAGTATTTAGGTTAAAGCAGTTTCACTTATGTTAAATGTTGCTCTTATACCACAATACATTGAAAACTTTGGATGCATGTTGAGAAACATGCTTTTCTGTAAAACTCAAATATAGGAGCTGTGTCTGCGATTCAAAGTGAAAACATTTGGCATGTTTGTTTGTTTTTTTTAAAGATTTTATTTATTTATTTATTTGAGAGAGAGAATGAGAGACAGCATGAGAGGGAGGAGGGTGAGAAGGAGAAGCAGACTCTCTGCTGAGCAGGGAGCCCGATGTGGGACTCGATCCCGGGACTCCAGGATCATGACCTGAGCCAAAGGCAGTCGCTTAACCAACTGAGCCACCCAGGCGCCCCTGGCATGTTTGTTAATTCTAGCTTTTTGGCTTAATATCCTGTAAGGCACATGAGTGTACACTTTTACTTTTTTTTTTTTTAACGATCTGGGACAATTTTGAGATGTAATACCAATACCTTAGGAGTTTGGTCATGTCGTTTGTATGAGATTCTGAGGCTTTGATTTAAATCTTTCCTTGTGATTTCCATTAGATGTATTGTACTAAGTGAAACTTGTTAAATAAATCTTCCTTTTAAAAACTGGAAAAAAAATATACGGAAATACAAAGGGTCTAGATTAGTTTTAAAAAAAATCTTGAAAAGGAATGTCAATGTTAAAGAACATTCAAGACATTATAAATCTATATAATTAAGACATTGCCATATAGGTGTAAGGATGAACAAATACATAAAAAAAGAATGAGGTGTCTGGAAATAGACTCATATACATACAGTCATTTAATTTTTTCATGAAGGCACCAGTATAATTCACTGGGAAAAGGAAATCTTTTGAACAAATTGTGATGGAATAACATGGTATGTGGATGGAAAGAATGAATCTTGATCACTAATCCATATCTACATATAATTAGTTAAATAACATGATGATCATAAACCTAAATGTAAAAACTAAAATCATAAAGCTTCCACAACAAAATTTATGAGAATATCTTCATGAATTTGGGGCCAGCAGGGATTCATTAAGACAAAAAAGGTATGATTATAAAAGAAAAAAATTGACAGATTGAACTTCATTAAAATTGATTATTCCAGCCTGTGTGAAAGACCCTATTAAAACAGTAAGGCGAGATCCAGAGGGGAGAAATGTGACACAGATTCACATTGAAAATCTATAAAGAACTTGTATAGATGAACAGAAAATTCAGTTTTTAGATGTCATGGCATTGCCAAATTTTAATAAAAGTTTTTAAGTGTTTGCTCATTTTTATACTAAACTTATATAACAGTAAGAAGCTATTTGCATATTGCCAAGATCCAAGGACCACACACTGAGTAGCTCTGCTTTAGTGGACATCAGTTCATATAACTCACTCAGTATGAACTTCCCTTAATTTCTCAAATATCAAGGGTACTGAATTAAAATCTTGACCTATGCAGTAGTTTATTCAGTTCTCATTCAGGTGATTGAAATTGCAGAAAGCAGCTCTGTAATTTTGCACAATATTTTACTTTCTGGGAAGCTGGGAATTAGGATCCTTTTAAAAAGAATCTAAAAAAGCCCACAAATGAATAAACAAAAGGCAGAATCAGATCTACAAATACAGAGAACAAACCGATGATTGCCAGAGAGGAGGGAGGGGTGGGCAAAATGGGTGAAGGGGAATGGGAGATACAGGCTTCCAGTTAAGGAATAAATAAGTCACGGGAATAAAAGGCACAGCAAAGGAATATAGCTGATGATACTGTAATAGCGCTGTATGCTGACAGATGGTGGCTACCCTCGTGGTGAGCACAGCAGAACGTATAAATCACGACATTGTACACCTGAAACTAATGTAACCTGGTGCATCAACCATACTCAAGTAAATAAAAATTTAAATAATAAAAAAGTATTTATTATGTATTTGTGTGGGGAAACGATAATAGCTGTGAAATTTAGACTATAACAAGAGCCTCTTTACAATAATTAACTTTGTTGTTTTTGACATACCTTTAGTTACCTTTTCCTTTGTTCATTTCAGCTATTTCTTGTCTGTTGTACTTAGCAATCCTTGTTTTCTCATTTAGGGTACATCACTGAAGGGTTCCTGGTTATACAGCGTGCCTTGGATCAGGCCATCATGAAATATTTTAACCACACAGCTACACAAAAGCTATTTCAAGATGTCACTGTCTTTGTTCAGAGATTTCCATATCCAGAATATTCTCGTGATTACTTCTTCACCTTTTTTGGTATTTTCATTCCTTTAGTAATCTTATTTATCTTCTCTATGAACCGTCTTACCCTCATTCAGTCTAATATGTGGGAAAAGGAAAAGCGATGGAAGGTAACTCTACTTTTCTTGAGGTAAATAGAGCTTCTATAGAAAAATTTGGGTCTGTAGCATAAATTTCTGTGGAGGCTCGATTATTTCTACCCACTCAGCACTGGTAGATGGTCATGTTTCAGTAGCAACCAGAAAGTGAACGCTTGTTTCTCTTGGCAATTTTCTAGAATTTTGTTTTTATTGGTCCTTTCATTTTATTTCTAGAAGACTATTTCACAAGATTATTACAAATAGAATTTAAATGCCAAATGCTCTAAAATCTCTCTGGAATAGGTGGGTTGCAAAGAATTAATCATCTGGGCTTGTGGAACTGTCTTGATGAATTTAAATACAGTTAAATTTCAAGATTCTATGAATCTATAATTAGTTTTTCTGAGTTTTTTTTCTAAATGACCACTTATAGTCCCCTTCAGAATTTCTATGTCTCGGTAGAGACCGTGTTGTGTTATGGCCAGAGGCTTTGCAGTTCAAAAATAGTCATTTAACCAATTATTAATTTATAATTCATATATAATTATTAATATATAATTATAATTAATATGTAATTATTATGTATTTAACATATAATATATATTATATAATATACAATAATATTATAATATATCCTATAAAGAGAGAGGGAGAGATGATTTATATAATTATATATATAATTGATTTATTGCCTAATTTGTTTCTGATAAATCATAGATTTGAATCCTATCTCTATTATTTATTGACTCTGACATAGTCATATAACTTTTCTAGCCTTTTTTCTCAGATATAAATTGAGTATAATAATAGTAACTAACTTGGAAGGCTGTCATGATATTAAGCTAGATATTATGTGAAAAATTATCACCATCAAATCACCTGGACCTGCTGTTGTGAGGTGTAAAGGAGGAAACAGGTGTTGAGTGTTTGGTACATTGTCAGGCACCTAGTGGGTGCTCCATAGCTGTTAGACGTGGCTGTTAACATCAGCTGTCTCTCCATTTCATTTATCCTTGTGTAATCTTGA